GCGTCGCTGGCGGAGCTGCACGAGCTCGAGGGGCTCGTGAGGCAGTGCCACGAGGACGTGTCTGCCGCCAGCGCGATCGCGGAGCGCATGGCTGCTGAGCTGCTCGATGGGCAGGACCCGGTGCCCGACCCCACCATCTGGGGCGGCAGACCAGCCTCGTGCGAATGATTGTGCGCATGGAGTGCAGTGCAGCGTGCCGCACTAGCGCACCGAAGTCCACGGCGTAACAGCTTTTGCATTGCTCAGCTCAGCGCGGCACGCAAGCGTGCATGCGCGCGTGCACGCGGACGCACGCGAACGCACGCACGGTCGGCCTTCCTCCCCTCAAGGAGGCCGACAGGCAGCGGTTGCAGGCCGCCCAGGACGCGCACGAGGCATTGCGGCTGGAGGTCGAGGCCATCACGAAGGCCTGCGAGCAGGCCCTGGCGGAACGGGACCGCGCGAAAGAGGCGCTGGTCTCGGTTCAGGACCAGGTGGACGACCTGAGGCTCTGACGAGGAGGAGAAGTGGTAGGAAGACGAGGAGGGTGGTTTTGCTGGGTTGCGCGCGGGGGCGCACAAGTACTCGTGCTTCGTGCTTCGCAGTCCCAGCTGGAGGAGTGCCCTTCTCAAGGGAGAGGCGCCGCGCGGTTTGGGCTCCGCGCGGCGCGAAGCGCCAGGTCAGGTGGCCGAGCAGGCACTGGGTATCAGACGTGTGCAGCGTCTGTTGCCAGATGGGCGCGGTCCCGTTGGCCAGCTACCTTTCGGACGTCGGGGAGATTGCCCGCAGCATGCGGGCCTGACACGTGCACTCTTCTTTTAGGTCGGGCATGTCCTCCTACAGGCGGATTTTGGGCGAACACCAACACATGGTCAAATAACATTCGAACGTAGCGAAAAATAGTCGAAACATCGTCCCCGAACTATTTTGTACTATTTTTGAGTATTCCTCCTGTAGAGAGACGTGCCCGACTTAGGTCTTCTTGGAAAGGTCGAGTGCTTCGGGCTGGCCTCACCGGTCAGGGCGTTGCGCTGGGCGTCGCCAGGTGCGTCCCCGCGGCCTCGGACGCCTCGCCTCGGCCCCGCCGCCGCCCCCTCCCCTGCTCGTGCAGCTCCCGTTTGCCCCTACGTGCACGAGGCGTCGGCCGCCTCGGCCTGGGGCGGAGGGCCGCGAAGCGCACCGTCGAGCGATACGTCCGCTGAGGCCTCCACTCGCCTCAAGTCGGGCACGTCCCTCCACAGGTGGATTAGTCAAGAACAATAATAGTTTGGGCATGATTTTTCGACCATTTTTGGCTATTTTTGGGTTCTCCTTGACCATTTGGTTGATTTTCGCTTAAAATCCGCCTGCAGGAGGACATGCCCGACCTAACACTCCGACTCCTCCGCGCCTGCGCTGCGGCCGCGGCCTCGGGTCGCGGCACTGAGGGTGTGACAGTAGGGGGTGCGCGTCCAGCAGACCCACCGGATTTGGTATTGGGCAGGGCGTCGATCGCGTCGCTGAAGGCGCCATCAGCTGGGTGCGCAGCCGGTTTTCTCCTCCTGCGCGGATCCCAGACCCTCTTGGATGAATTTGGTGGGGCGTCGGGCGGCTCCGTCGCTGAAACGGCCACGCCACCCGCCCGTGTCGGCAAGCACGGGGTGCCGTCCATTTGGTGGTCAAGATCCCCCTCCAGCTCTTCCGTCGTGGCCCGAGGCCACTGGTGTCGCAAGGGTGCGCGGCGCTTTCCGAACGCGCCCTGCAAGGCAGAACGTGATGACCGCGGGGACGCTACGCGCTCGCCTGGTGGCCATGAGTGAGACCGCACAGTCCGTGTCTGCGGCGCCGCTCGCGCCTCGCAGGCCCAGGGGTGCAACCCGCGCCCCGCCTTCGGGGTCCTCTGGCGCGCCGTGGGGAAGGGTGGCGCGCAAAGGCCTGCGGGCGGCGGCGCAGGCGCGGTGGCGGCGTCGCCCCCAGACTGCGGGATGGCCGCTTTTAGGTTCTTGCAGCGTGCTCGGCGACGCGCGCTCCCTGCCGGCGAGGGCCGCTTTGTGCAGCCCCCAACTGCGCGCGAACCGGATGCCCTCGACAACCCTCGCTTGCCGCGCGCGCGTGGACTACAGCGCCCAATTCAAGAAGGCTCCTCTTCCCTCTGGCTGGGGCAAGCGTGCACCGCTCCCAGGGTGAGCTGGTCGGCGGGCCGGGCGTCCAAGGACCCGTCGGCCTGCAGCTCCTCGCGCGAGGCTGGGCGCCGAAGGGGCCCCCTCCGCGTCGCCTGCCTCGCGCTGTGCCACCCGCGGCCGCACCACTTTCGGCCACTGCCGCACTGTGGCCGCTGCAGCGCACCGGCCGCTGCAGTGCGCGCTGGATGGCCCGCAGCCGCTGGGCGGGCTTTTCTTCTGCTGGGCGCCCAGGGGCCGAGCCGCCGAGCAGCACGGGTGCAGTGCTGCGGAGAGCGGCTGCGAGGGCAGCCGCCAAGCTGTGCACGGTGACGCTGCCCTCCTCCGCGCCGCCTGCACCAGCAGGGCAGGTCCAACCCGCACGCGGGGCGGGCAGGGCTGCCGGTGGCCGCCGTCGCGTCCATCAGCGCGAGGGGGGTCTGCACCGATCCACCGAGGACGACGGAAGGCGACTCCGGCAAGCAGTCGACGCAAGCTAGCCTCGCGGCTTGAGCCCGTGTGCCGATGATGAAAACGATGATGATATGATGATGATGATGATGATGATGATGATGATGATGATGATGATGATGATGATGATGATGATGATGATGATGATGATGATGATGATGATGATGATGATGATGATGATGATGATGATGATGATGATGATGATGATGATGATGATGATGATGATGCTGATGCTGATGCTGATGCTGATGCTGATGCTGATGCTGATGCTGATGCTGATGCTGATGATGGTGATGGTGATGGTGATGGTGATGTATGATGATCATGGTGATGATGATGATGATGATGATGATGATGATGATGAGGATGATGATGATTCTGATGATGATGGTGATGATGGTGGTGATGATGATGATCCTGGTTATGGTGGTGGCGATGATGGTGATGGTGGTGGTGATGATGGTGCCAGTGATGGTGATGGTGGTAATAGTGTTGTTGATGAGGATGATGAGGATGTGGATGATGAGCGTGATGTTGAATTCGAGGACGATCAATCTAGTTGTTGTTGTTGTTGTTGTTGCTGTTGTTGTTGTTGTTGTGGTTGGCCTCTCACTTCTGAAGAATAATTATTGTTGATCCCCCCCACCGGTGCATATTATGTTTTCTCAATCAAAGTGTGCCCCTCGACGCTCGCACCCTGTTTTTATCAGGGGAAATCTTGAGGCTCTAACTGTGCCCTTGGCCCCCGGGTTACAACAACAGCGGCTCCCGCCTGAGACTTCCTCACAATTTAGCCAGGACCCCCGCTCCTGCCCGAGACTTCTTCGCATTTTATTCAGTAGTCGCGCTCCCGCTTGGGGTTCCCTGACAATTTATTCAGGAATCGTTCTCCCGGCGCTCTGGAGTCGAGCTCTCGCTGGAGACTTGCTGGCAGTTTGCTGAAGAATAGCGCCCTTGCGTTGGAATCTCCTGCAAATTACTCGAGCGCCGCGCTCCCGACACCCAGGCACCTAGGAGTCGCGCTCACGCTCAGGACTCCTTCACAGATTACCTAGGAATCGGGATCTCGCTGCCCTTCGTGGCCCCGTTGCAGCCCTTCGTGGCCCCCTCGCTTTGTTTCGTGGCCCCGTTGCAGCCCTTCGTGGCCCCCTCGCTGCCCTTCGTGGCCCCGTTGCAGCCCCTCGTGACCTCCTCGCCGTCCTTCGTGGCCCCGTTGCAGCCCTTCGTGGCCCCCGCGCTTTGTTTCGTGGCCCCGTTGCAGCCCTTCGTGGCCCCCTCGCTGGCTTTCGTGGCCCCGTTGCATCCCTTCGTGGCACCCTCGCTGCCCTTCGTGGCCCCATATATGTATGCCCTTCATGGCCCCCGCTCGTTCGCGCCCGTGGTGGCCCCATTTGCATGCCCTTCGTGGCCCCGCTGTCGCCCTTCGTGGGCCCCTCACTGCCCTTCGTTGCCCCGTTGCTGCCCTCAGAGGCCCCATCCTTGCCCTTCGCGGCCCAGTATACGTATGCCCTTCGTGGCCCCCGCTCGTTTGCGCCCGCTGCGGCCCCATGTGCATGCCCTTCGTGGCCCCGCTGTCGCCGTTCGTGGCCCCCTCACTGTCCTACGTGGCCCAGTTGCTACCCTCAGTGGCCCCATCGTTGCCTTCTGTGGCCCCGCATTATCTGCACTTCGTGGCCCCCGCTCGTTCGCGCTCGTGGCCCCATACGCATTCCCTTCGTGTCCCCGCTGACGCCCTTCGTGGCCTATTTCGTGTCCTTCGTGGCCCTGCTGTCGTTCTTTCTCGCTCTCGCTTTCGCTCGTCGTCGGCCGCGTCGTCGTCGTCGTCTCCGTTCGTCTTCGACTTCGGACGTCGTCGTCGGTCGTCGTCGTCGTCGTGTCGTCGTCGTTCGTGTCGGTTCACCTGTCCGTCCCTATGGGGTCGGGTCGACGGTCCGGGGCCGCCCCGCCGATCAGCGCTGCCGCTGGCCAGGCAGACGGTCCGCGGCCGCCCCGCCGCTTGCCGGGGCCCGACCTGCAGGGAAGAAAGGTATACCCCCCAAAAGGGGTTCGATCGAAGACGAAGAGGGCGGGTATCGAGGGTTTGGGAAATACGCGTTATTGGACACTCGAGCATATAAGGGCGAACAGTCTTAACATTATTGTTGTTGTTGTTGTTGTTGTTGTTGTTGTTGTTGTTGTTGTTGTTGTTGTTGTTTTCAACATTTATGTTACATGAGCTCGCGCGAGCTACTTTTTCTTGTTCTAACATAATCAAATTTCAATAATCCCTTGCAAAAAATAAGGTAAAGTGGACATTCGCGCGCGCAAGACGAAATCCTTCCAGAACCTTAGGTTTCGTAACGATTTCAACATAAAAACATAAAAAACCCAATGGTTTTTCAAAACAAAATGTCCAAATTTCATCCCGCGCGCGCTGTCCGACTCCCACAAAACCAATGGTTTTTCAACATTTATGTTACATAAGCTCGCGCGAGCTACTTTTTCTTGTTCTTACATAATCAAATTTCAACATCCCTTGCAAAAAAAAGTAAAGAGGACATTCGCGCGCGCAAGACCAACAAAAAACACGACGATCTCAGGAACTTGCCCCAAAAATGTGACCAACTCCGCTCTCTCTGTCTCTCTCTCTGTCTGCTATCTGTCTCTCTCTCTGTCTGTCTGTGTCATGTATTGTATGTCACAATTGCAGGATGCTGGGCACACGCGCGCCCCGAATAAGTGACCAAGTTCTGTGGGTGTGTACCCCACGCCAGTGTAGTAGCCACGGTCGTTCGCACGCCACGAAGTGAAGTGTCCCAACGTCATAGGGCGGGAAGCTGGGTTTGGGTGGTCGCGAAGAGTCGTTTGGATATTTGGTAGAGCTTGAACTGCCCCCCAACGAAGTGGGGGTATTGTCTCGCGTCGCATGAAAACCCT